CTGGGCTTAAATTCAGGTTTATGCAGGGGATTCTTGCACATGCAGCGTTTTGCGTGCGCCTTTTTGTCTAAATGAGACATTGCGCTTCCAACCGTTATATGATCTGAGAAAGCCAGGAACCTCTACTATAAATCTTGCTCTTTTCCCTTTATTTTCGGCCCAAGAGACCTTCCCTGAAGTAGTGCAGAACTGTGAAATTGGTATGCCTATCACTTTAGCTTTGACTCGGACACCTTATAGATTGTATGAACAACTACTGTTATCATCGTTCCCACCTTTAGCTTTATCTTTGGAAGATTAAGCAGCAGAGGGAACTCCAGAAAACGGCGTAGCAAAGAACTTAGGGATGGGATCTTTGCAGCTGTTATACCCCACGCTCCATCCACCAGACCTGTAGTTGGGTTCACAAATAATACGAGGGTAGATTGCTTCACTTCATTCGTCCATTATTAGAGGTGTCTAACGGAAAATAATCAACAGTAAAGGTTACTGGGATCTAATCTATTTGTTCCTTAGCCCTAGAGACCCGCTGGGATACGTTATTATACAAGAAATGTTAGCACCCGGGGCATCGTCAAACTGTACTGTTAATTACTAAATCAGAACCTCCATTTTTCCAGATATGTTTATGCATTTTGGTTAACCTTGAGAAAGTTTGCCTTCCGCTATAATATCAAACTTTACCCTTTATTCCGGTAAACTTCCTTTGTTATTCAGTTTTAGTGAATTTCCTGATGCTTTTGCTTTTGTATCGCTACCTTAGTTCCCTATTGTAGCTATTTTCGTAGCTAGTGTGTCAATTGGTCGACTTGAGGCAACGAGTTGCGCAAAACTGTGTTATCAAATATTCCTGACTGTTATTAAGGAGAAATAAGGAGGCTTTTCGAGGCGCTTGCCCTACAACACACTCCCTCCTTCATTCATACCTAGCGGTAATAGAAACTGACCACGCAATTAATGTTTGGCTCTTCCTTTATAACAAAGGAAGGCGTTTGAAGGTTAGGCGTCTAGAAAGCCCGAATGAAATGTTGTCATCAGTCGCTAAGTAAAGCTCATTGGCATTCTGGCGGCCATATAAATCTTCATTTTTAAAGCCACTGCTATATTTGTGTACTCTGCGACTTTGTTGTGTACATATGCGAGTCTCAATGCCTGAATTCACGATCACCAACCGCATGCGAACTAAGACAAAACTGTGTGCTCGGAAACTATACGCAAAAACTTAAAAATGCAGATGCACATCATTAGCTTCCTCGTCCAAAGCAGTCGTTGCCAAAAGGCCAAGTTGGGCAGCGTAGTAAAGGCCCGAACAAAGGGCACTAGGGATCCGCCGCCTGAGTAAGGCAACACGCTTCGCAAACCTATTAGAACTGCTGCCATAGCTTGTGGTTGTCGTTTTGTTCCGGCGGTTACGCATGAGTTGGTCTTCGCTCCTCTGAGGCAAATTACACATAAATCTATCTCTGTACGCATTGTTTGTGGGAATAAATTCTGGATCCGAGCTACATTCTTCCCAGCACCTTGAATGGGATACGAAACAAGAAACCAATTTTCAGCCACGGTGACTGGGTACTCCCACTATTATTGGACTTGCTCCAACTCAGAGTTGTCAACAGATCAGCGGGTACCACGTTCGGTCTTTTAACTGATGATGTTGCAATCTGATTGCAAGCTACGTCCCCGGATGAGGATAACAATAAAGTGCAGGAGACAGCGGTAGTGTTCTACATTGGAGCGAGGGATGGAAGTTGAGCCCGTCTATATCAACCTTCGAACCGGGCGCCTAGTAGGTTTATTGGCAATCGACTAAACTAAATGGGGGCTACAAATGGCGTTAAATCCAATCATACAATGACTAGGGAACATCTGTGTGCAAAGTTGTCGTTGTAAGGATGAAGAACCGGAAAATTGGAGTGGGGGATCGGGCATACGCGACACTGTATCATTTACATCGCCACTACACGTCGGTCGTGGACTATACAGCTGCAGTATGAACGCTGAGGATCCCTGAGCTAGGGATTTGTTTGCTGTAAGCCCTCAGGCCTGTAATGCTCGAGCAGGTGTGAGAA